AAACTCATCAGAATACGACCCCCGTTGCTACTTGTAGCAACATAGGGTTGACCCTGCTGCGACAGCTGCTCTTCTTCGGTCTAATCTTCCGTTTCACGTGACAAATTGAGCCTACAACTGCGGAGGAACCAAAAATTGGGCCATTTCTAATGTTCGTGGTCACCGCCACTGAGAATTTCTCATCGGGCCTAACAGCCAGTGCTGCTTTTCTTTCCATCGCTGCTGCGCCCTCAATGGAGGTCATTACTTTGAAATCGTCGGCTGATTCCTGAGCTTCAGCGGCGTAATTGTCAGTGTGACAGAATGGAAATGGATGATTTCCACCATAGGGCAAAATTGCCCTTAAGTGCATTGATGGCGGAAGCAGGACCACTTGTAGTGATTGGATTGGTGGTTGACCATGACACGCAATTATAGGTTATCGATCACCAGGGACGAGTTCTTGAGATTGCCTCAGAGGGGTTGGTCTTTTTCAGAGCACCTTCGTAAAGTTCTGATGTGCTGGTAAGGCTCATATATGAAGAAAGCAATTTCACTCCATCATTATGGTAAGTTCCGGATTTTGGCCTTGACTGCCTCCTGGTTTACGCTTGGTTTTCGCACTTGACACCCTTAGAGCCTCCTGAGAAACTTTTTTTTTCAATTACACGGATGATGTTCTTGGAATTCTTTCCGTTACGAATTCACCTGACATCCGTTCCTTTGTCTTCGAGGTGCGCATGTCGCGATTGCGGACTCAGGGGTACATATTGCAATGGCCGCGAAAAAATCAATATCACGTGCGTTTTTGATGTTTTGGATTCTATTTGATATACTGCGCTCACAAAACTCCCAGATGAGAGGGGTAGAGGTGATGTAATCCGCCATGGGCACATACATATAGGAGGGGGGTGGGAGGCAAAAAATCACTTTGCTTATGGCGCACATCACCAAACTTTTCGTCGCGCAGGGTGCCACTCTTGAGGATGTTTTACCACAAATTCTGACTTGTTTTTGTTTGCTAACTATTTGTCGCAGTTTTCGTCCCGTATGGGGCAAAGTTTTGCTAACAACCCAGCGTTCTTGTGGAACATATTTCTTGGATTCCCCCCACAAGGAGAAGATAGCTCAACTTCACTACCCTCACTGTCCTCAGAAGTCGTCGTCTCTGCTTCGTGTTGAGCTGGGAGAGGTCTTCAGTTATTGTTTCAGCTTGAAGCAGCTACATAATTACTTCAATCGGTCAGTTGATGGATATCTTTCTAGAGACAAAAGCTCTGACCATGTGGGACCCCTTCCAACCAGCATTCCATATAATGTCGTAATGGTCCACTATCCGTCGAGAATCGCGTTGAGCTTGGGCCATGCCCCAATTTACCGTCGCAAATTCTTCCCATGTCGTCGGCGTGGAAGTATTACACTGCGTTTCATAAATATAGGTCCACCCTAATTTTTTGCTATTCCAAAGTTGCTGTGCATTTTTGGGAAAATGCCGCTATTACCAATAGTTTCCCCATAACGAAAAACCTTGATACTCGATTTCTGGAGAAATCTCGATTCAGAATTAATTAAAATATCTTTTTAGAACGTATTTTCACCGTTTCGCAAATATGACTACACATCACTTGTCGAGAGATTTTATTATAGCAAAAAAACGTCACAAATTTTCAACAATGGGATGGTCCTCCCATAGTCATAAGGAACACAATAATACGTTTTGGAATGCTGGTAATCAAATTAGCTATTACAGTAGGATCGAAATTTGTCTGTGCGCTGATGATCGACGTTTTCAGCTCTTCGGTTGTTCCATTTTGCTTTTCTCTGCTGTGGAACTTTATAGCAATTAAGGCCTTATGATTCTCTATTGGAATCTGATTCAGCTAACATGTTGGCCACCAGGTAACTGCCATATTTTTTCCCACAATTCCATCTGGCGTGGAAGGACCGGCATGGACAGCCGCGTTATCGTGCGTAAAAATCAAGGTTCGAGGGAGCTGTTGTCGGAAAGATGGTAACAGTCGCTTCAGAAGAACTTCACGATACCCTATGGAATCCTCTTGAAAGGAAACAAACACGAGCTCTAGCCGCTCAGTCGTTCAAAAGAGCCTCAATCCATAAGGGATTCTTCGCCAAAATTACCTTACATCAAAACCATCTACGATTTCCACGGAACCCTCCCGTACGCTTTTTTTCTATCAGATCCACCTAGAATAAACTTTTTCACGTCGATCTCAGATCACCTGTAGCACGAAACAAGGAGCTAGAGTCCAAGATCGCGAAGGGTCTGAACAGCCAAACCTTCGTTCATAAAGTTGCGCCCTTTTCCACGCTGAAATGGAGACGTGCGATCTTGAAGCGCTCAAATAATCTTGGAACGCTCTTCATCAATCCGCTGAAGATGTATTGCTTCGCTGACGTACACACCACACGGTGGTTTTGCTCACGGAAGGCCGTATTTCAGCACGAACTTTGTTCGGACCCCTTACACAATTCGAGAGAAAACGCCCAGTTCCTCCTAAATCTTGAAGGAAACGCGGTCTTCATTTACCTAAGCTACTCTTCTCCCCGCACTGACCAGGATTTCGCACTTAGTTGCTTAGGTCGTAGGAGCCGGCCGGCTTGGGAGGAAATTTTGCTCCTTTGCCATCCCACTTCAGTAAGTGCTCTGGCTTGAGCTTGTTACTGGGAAGAGAGGCGAGTAACACGAGGTATGGTAAACTCGATGTCGACTGAGCTCACATATATCCCCGCTTCCCTGATTCCCTTCACGGATCGTGAGAAATGGAAACTTTTTATGAGTGGCCCGATATTCATGAAACGGTGAAAATTCGTTCTAAAAAAGTTAATTGGGTTACTTGAGGGGGAACTTTGTCAGAAAAACACTATGAAGGTTTTCCGTGATGAGGAATCTAATGGTGATAGCAGCATTTCCAAAAAATGCACAGCAACTTTGGGGTAGCAAAAATTTAGGGTGGACCTATAATTATGAAACGCAGTGTATAGTAATTATATTGAAGATATACATTATACGAAAAAGGAATGTGGCTCTTTTCATATCACAGCCGTTTGTTGGTATAACGTGGATATGGAGTGCGACTCATATTCAAATGTTAAGTGAAGTGTCTTTTTTGGCCACCCCTGTATGCCCACTTACTACCTCGCTGGGCATACGAGTCAAGTATCCTCTGAATATAATAGATTTATCTAAAAAATACAGTCAGTCTATCTCAAAAACTATAAGCATCCTGAATGATAAACCACGTAACCTGAAACTGTGACAGCGTCCTTCACAACGCGTCCCGCTCAAATCCTTTCACATTCTTTTCGTTGTGTGCACGTTTCACAGAATGGTTTTCTCATTTACTATATCATTAGGGAGAAAGAACGTCTAGTTAATTTCACTTGAAGTGGTACTAATGGCAGCCATTGTCGCCATGTAATACAAAAAGCTAGTGCTAGTGAAGGAAAAAGCCAGAACGCTAGTGCGAAATCACTTTCATACAGCTTGAAGCGTACAAATTGCGCTCATGCCTATCATGCCTCCTCATACAGGGAAAGGCCATCCTAACTCACTTTCTGTTCCTTATGTTTCTCCACTACCACAAACTTTGAGCTTAGTGCAAAGTTTCTCCTTAAGCAGTCTTCTCAAAAAAAAGCCATTCTCAAAAGGCGTGCCAGAATAGATATTCAATGCTGTGCCATGCGGGGTTGAGTTTTACCGTTTACGCACGAACACCACTATCGACTATCTATGGTTCTATCTTGAACCTGGGTAAATAATTTATCGCAGGAATTACGTTCGGATATTTTATTGCTCAAACCGGCACTGTGTCGCGATTTTTCTGCTCCGGCGACAGAGCACGGCATCGCTCCTTGTGCTTTCTATGCTTGACCACTTCTTCGCGGTGGGTACTCGACCACTGTCGCGAAGTGTAGTCCGCTGTCATGAGGCCGTAGTAACCGTCGGTTCACACTCTTCAAATGAGTGATCGCATTTGTGATTTCAGGAAGGGGGGTCGCATTTTGGGGTTGAGCAAGGTTATATTATCGGAAACGAGGTTGTTAAAGAGGGTTCTGTTTGAACGGGGTTATTCGACAATGTGGTGAAGTTTCCAAACGAGACGGGGGAGACTCGCAAATGGATGGGATAAAAATAAAACCCCAAGGACCGATAAAAAGAAACAAAGGAAAAAAGAAAAAAAACCGCCAAAATTGGAGGATTTGCCACTTCATGATGCCAACCCCCTCCCCTTCTTCATCGCTCGGCGGCTTCTGGAGGAGAAAGAGGGCAAAGTTGGCTGTATCGACTCCTGGTCTAGGATTCAAATACTATAGAAACAGCAATGATGGTAAGGGAGAAGGGGAAGAGAGATTCTTCCTGCAGCTTTCTAAGACTGATGGTGGAGGTGGCAGTCGCAGCGAGACCCCCATAAAGTGGCGGACGAGGGGAGGGAGTCGCAAAATTTTTGGAAAAGTGCGAACGTGACGGTTGACCATGGTCGAATCTTCGTCAGGAAGTGGTGCTCGATCAGAGAAATCATAGAGCCCACAGGGCCCGATGTCGCGGTGACAGCACTGTCACCTACTGTCATTAAGGGGTGAGGGGGACTTGAATTTGACGACTCGCCGATTGAATCATGATCTTAGTATTTTGCAGATCATCTACCGAATACCGGCAAAACTGTACAGTTATTCCAAATCAAGAGCGATCGAGTTGCACAAGGGCTCCGTACGAGTTCCCGTTAACCCGTACTTCTTCTCCATCTTACCTCATTTCACCGTTTCCCTCGTGTCCTATTCCGTCGCGTTCTGCCTCCATAGGTGATGACGTACGGGCGAAAGGATCCATTGGCCGGCATGAGGGAGATGCCTGGCCACCATATCCTCTCTACACATGTTTTCCGTAGCATCCTGTAAGAGTGCATGGAAATGAAAAGGTGAACGGTTCAAAGCGCTCCGTGGTGAATGCTCCACTGAATTTCCACTTCATTTGACTTTTCTTGAGAATACTTTTTCCTATATTCAACGAGGCAGAACGTCCTTGCATGCTGGAAAATGTGAAACGAACCAAAATAAAAGTCGGCGCTATCGCAATATAGAGGGGCATCGTAATGGCAATGCATACAAACCGCGTAAAACATGTGTTTTTTGTTCAAAACGGACCAAGCCTTAGGCGGGGGAGAGAGACTCCAAGGAGCGTGAGCAATTTTCATTTTCCCGGAGCTCCTGCACCTCCTAGGCCTAGTCCTAGAGGATGCCCCGTATATTGCGTTAGCGCCAATGTTCTCAAAATGGTTATAGAATTATGATAGACTGATGAAATGGAAAACCGTGAAACGAAATCAATAACAAATAAATAAATAATAAATAAATAAATTAAATAAATAAATAAATACTTTCCAACAAGATTCTCGACAATACAATTAAGCTGCCTGATCCTCTATGATCACCATTATTTCCTTCCACTTTGTACAGCAAAATGGCCGCTTTCGTTCCACTCCGTCACCTTATTAATTGGGTGTTGCAGTCAGCAATGGAGGGAAAAGCATGTTTCAATGTAAGTGCTTCTCAATTTGCGCTTGAATGTCTCTCTCGCAAATCTACCACTTTTTCGATCAAGGATATAGCGTGCAGATAGGCGCGCCTTTTCGAGCGTAATCCTTTTCAGCGCGACAGTGGCTGTGCCGGACAGATGGAACGCATAACAAGATGAATGCCTAATGAATAAATTGAATTGATGAATTCATTTAAGAAATCCTTGTCCCACAAGGGCAACATTAAGCTTAAGTAACATATAAGCCTCTAGCAATTTCTGGCTAACTCTATATTTGATTGTGTACTTCAAATTGGGAAGTTTGCGATAGAGTCGGTGATTCTGCGCAGAGCAGTAAGAAATTTGGCGATAATGTTCAGGCCAAGCGTTTAAGTGGTCGACGTTAGCAAACCTGGAAGCGCAATACAGCTCCCTTCAGAAGAGAACAGAATTTCTATTACAAAACTTTTAAAAACGTAAAAGTTGTCGTCAAAAAAGCAGATATCATGCCGCGAGTAAAGGCACCGCTCACCTACCACACGATATAGGTATCAAAATACTTTTGCGTGACCCAAGCGTTCTATTCATGGTGGTGAAGCCGCAACATATTTGTGTGGAAGTAGTGGGGTCAGGCTATCAGAGCTGGACGGTCATTGATGCCTAATGGTAAGGTCAAGTTTGGGCTTAGGCTTGGCATATGCTCAAGCCTATGATTGGGCCTAGGCTCAGGCCTAAGCTTGCTGCAAATGAGTAGCGTATCGAATTTAGATGGCCTGTCCTGAGGAGGGAAATTGCATTGCCCCTGGGGATCGAGCCTTGGGGAGTTGAAGGGTTTGGGAAGGATATGAATTCATGGTTCTGGGGGTACACTCGAAAAGGGTCGGGTGCGTTGCACTTCTCCTCCTCAGGTAAGGTCAGCGGCATTATACTGAACTAAATCGATTTACTACCTTTCAGCTTTAGAACGTAGAACAGATTTGCCCCAGGTAGAGTCACCCTTCAAAACCCAACTATAGCTCTTTCGCTAGTATTTATCCCGTCGTTGCCCATAGCCTCAGTATTCATCACACGGCTCATAAATCATTCTTCTACAAGGCCCATATTGGATGAATGGCGATTTAGTTCTTTCATGCAGTGCTTTCCTTTCACCAACTCATTTTTCATCGAGAATTCAACTCACTTTGTCTTGGATAACGTCAACCGGACGCCATTCCTTAATTTTCTCACAGAGAGCTTGGCAAATTTTCAACAAACATGTCTTGCAGTCTGAGAGCGACCGTTTGTTCATGATTTTCCATTATATGAAAGCCCCAATTTCGAAAAATTTCAGGCAGAAATGCGGCGTCCGAGGGTGAGTGAAGGAGGATCACCCACAGCTCCACGATCTGACAAAGGTAATTATCTTTTTTGAGCTTTTTTTTTCAGTGTCCGTATCAGGGCTCTGTCTATGTGCATGTTTCGCGCCACGCTCTGTCGTTTATGTGCTGGAAGTTCGTAAATACTGCATGTTTCTCTGGCATTTCTTTCACTATATCCCCATCCTTTTTTCATTTGCTTGTTTCCCCTTTCTCGTTTTTTATCAGTGACCATATGGAGCGATGGGCAAAGAAGTAAAATGAGGGCCCGCTTGTTCATCTGGCTACAATGATGGACGGTAAAGCCAAGCAAGCATTTCATCCTAAGGGTCGGACTGAGTTTACATATTTCTATAGAACTTGTATAATTCTAAAATGTAGGTGTAACTGACCTTCCCGAGCTATTACATTTTAGCAATGCTATGCAGCTGAACACCCACACCTTACCAAGAAAAAGTGAAGTCATGGCGCATTCCCACATGGTTTTTTTCACACTTTGTCCCTTTCCAAAATTTTATTGTAACCTTAGCAGGCTTGCCTTTATTGGATACAGTTTTTTTTTTGGGGAGAAAGGTTTACGATGGTCAACCAGATGGGGTCAAGTTTGGTACATCTGAAAATCAAATGTTTGGACCCTTAGATCGCCCCCCCCCCTGCCATTCCTTCATTGCTAAGCACATCACTCAAGCATTTCGGAATTTTAGTCTCATCACAAAGCAATTGGAGGTGTTCACATCCGCAACGAGTTTCCTTCAGCCTTGCCATCCCGAATAGCCTTTTCATGACTTACACGAGGCGAACAAAAACTAAGGTGCGAGGGTAATGCGTTCATTACCGTACACACCGATTCTTTCGCCTCGACTCGACCCTAATTTTTCCCGTTCGGTTGCTCTCAGCCGAGGAGAGTCATTGATGTATCACATATCATAGTTGATCAATCCGGAAGGTTATTCCATTACAAGGCTTCCTCATCAGAGAACGACCATCTTGTGGAGCAATGGGACCAAGAACTAGGGATTACTGTGGTTTACACTATTCTTTTCCCCGTTAGAACTTTGAAAATTTAATTAGACGACATTCCGCCGGATATGCTTCGAAGTCTTCGAGGAATTCTAACGAGTAATCCCAATCATGCTTTATGAGGCTTTGTGCTCGATCATGTAAATACTCAGATATTTTGCCGAGAGCTGCTGAGCTAGTTTGTAATTCCAGCACGGCTCCCGGTAACAAAACAGAGCTGTGGAGCCGGTTGCAGTGGCCGTTCGGGCAACCAATGGGATGCGTCTGGCTGTTCAATGACGTCTGCAAATTGTTTAGCAAATTGCATGCTCAGAATCGCGTCTGGTCACCCGAGTTTTTCATAGGAGCCCAATTCACAAACCTTGTCCATTAGGGGAGCGAAACCGATACACAACAGGCGGTGCCCTAGCGTCATGTTCAGAGATGCTCGTTCTTGAAGACCAACTATCGCTCCAGCGGACTCTGATTCCAGAATGCAGCGCTGAGAGAACTCTTCCATGAAATCAGCTGCTTCTTTCGTCCCTTTGTGCATCCGTTCGGAAAAGGCCGTTGCTGCGGTGTCGGTGGATTTTTCAGAGGCGATTTGAATGTACTGGAAATGAGGTCGCCGAATAATTAAATGACGCGACGAGCGTACGGCGTCAGAGTGCAAATCGCTAAGCTGAGCGACACAATGTCGCTTAGTCGATCAGCGAATTGGAGAAGGTAACCGAGGAGGACAAAGCTGATTCGGGTGAAATGCCCGCCGAGTCACATATCCACGACCAGCGTGTTCCGCCGCCCCTCCAATGCAGATCTATCAGTGGCTCTGTTCTGGCTGGTCTTCACAATCATCCTCGCATCCCTCTTGGTCGTCATTTGCAGAGAACTTGGCAGCCAGCTCTAGCAAACCTTAATTATCCTTGTAATCCGCCCCGTCACACTACGTCATCAACGCTTCTACACACACAAAGCGATATTGCCGCGATTTATCGACTGAAAATGAATGAGCAAAGTTCAGCGCGCTAACATTCATCTAGTATTCTGTTCATTGATGCGAGTCTTTCCATTTATTCAACAAATTGAATATTCCTACGTCACAACACAAATGTAAGAAAACACTTTGCAGCATTCTTTGAAGTGTGCCGAATTCAAAAACGCAATTACCATATGTGACATAAATCTCAACAATCATCCCCTGGCAAGCCCCGCATGTCGTGAGCGGAAACCCGCTGCACAACGAACATCTCCTTCCTACTGAATCCTCTGAATTCACACTAAGGATCGGTAGCACCTTCTCGTTTTCCCCAACACCAGTTTGGGAGTTTGGGGATCTGTGGTGTCGAGTCTGGGTGCTTTGTGTCCTGCCTCTCGTCCTGCGTCTCTGAGCAAATAAAATCCTCTAGTGCTGTGACAAACCGATCACGATCTCTGCTCAGATCCGTTTCAATTGATTCAGCTTACACCTCTGAATCTACCCATTTTACCCACCTATATTTGGATTTCTGCCGATTTTTAAAGCAAACATTTCGTTCAAACAAAGTTGAAGCATTTATTTCAATCACGTTCACATCCGCTGTTTCTATCGCGACACATTCCTTTCGTCCCGTTTTTGCCCTCAATTTGTCATTGTTTCGCAATTTGTTGTGCTCGTCTTTCTTTCATGCCAAAATTTCCTATAGTTTTTTCTGACTCTGAGGAAAGATGTGGGCGCTTTTTCACCTAAACTCCCTAATGTTGTAGCTTGCCCGCCGGCGCTCTCATCTGGGAAAGGTGGCATGTCCGGCGGCTCCATGCAAAAGACGTTCCAAGAGGCAATGCGACAGCGTCGCACCAGCTTGCCGGCCAACAGTCTGACGTTCGGGAAAGCTCAGGTGAACTCTCTATCCTCTTTTTGTCTTTATTTCTACTTTTTGTGATAACTTCAGTTTTGGGATGCTCATTGGCAAAAATTTCTCACTGGTTCCACTGATTTTTCAACAGCAGGGAGGAATTCTCAAAACAATAGCGCGCTGTAGTTGACTTCGGGTTTGAGAGGAATTGTACGCGGTTTGTAAACACCTCCTTGTCATTGCTGGTGTTGGCCTTACGTCCTTCCATCTTTTAGTCCTCAAAAATGGAAGAAGCTGTGAAAATTGATGCTGCTAGTGACGTCATAAAGCGCACCCAGAAGTTCAGACTGGATGGCTTTCTATTTCGGCTTGTATTCTTCTCTGACACAGCACCTAGAATTTTTTATCTATGTAACCCGAAGGGTCGGAAGTGGTGTAGTGGTAAGTGGCACGTTCACCACGCGAGCGGTCCGGGGATCAAATTCTAGGCCGTGAGTCGC